TATAATTATATACTAATACGTAAATGGAATCAAGTTGTAATATCTGTTATCTGGCTATATTTCATACAGTGCATAATTGCTTGCAAATTCAATTTGACAGCACTGTAACTCTACTTTGCTTTTATTAGGTATCACTGATGCTATCAATAGTGATAATGATATATTTAGTGGCTGTAACTATTATTAGATTGTTGTCATATTAAATTGATATTACTCCTGGGACATTTTGAATGGATCAAGACTTGTCTTAGGCTCTGTATGCAATACTGAGGATGATTGCAGGTTACCATCATGGGTGTAGGAGTTGGGGGCTGCAGTCCCCCCCAATAATTTTTAAGTCGACAGATTATACTTAAAAATCGGGCAATTCTACTTAAATATCGGGCAGATGTTACTTAAAAATGGGGCAAACGAAAGGAGAGCATGGCACATATTATAATAGTTGAAGAGCAGGATATAACTTATGTAAATATTGGGCCATCAGTGAATTTTGGGAAGTTTATCACGGGAAACATTGGTTGGTATTGGTCAGGCAATTCCCATGAACGTTAGGCAATATCTCCATGAAGGTCACGAAAATTTGTGTCCACAGACTGTAAAGTCTAATTTCTGTCCATGCATGTTCCAGAAATCCTACAATATCCACGTATGTTTGACAAAATTAATGCATCTAGTTCAACTCACATGTACTGTCGAGAGTATTGAGCTTCATCCAGGATACATTTTAAGTGGCCTAAGCCGAAGATCTTTGGCATGAGTTTGGCAAATTACAATAGTATCTATAGTTAAGGGGGCACGTCCATATTCATGTTGCCACGCATAACGTCGAATCGACGTTATCACCAGTACCCACCCACCCACTTCAGATAACGTCGATAGTTACCCTGTCGTATTTTGACCGCTTATTCTTATAAAATATGGTATATAATCAATCAATTTATCTCAGAAATGCATTAAAATGCTGAGGCTTCAATTCAAAGTTATTGACTATTGTACTTGCCTTTATAAAATATGATCGCGATTCGCGAACACAAATTGACGGGTATTTGACAGGAAAAAATGTCGCTTCAATACTTCGACCTTTGTTTTTAACTCTATTAGTTCAAAATAATATAATACTGGCAAAAGTTCCACGGCATACTTAAACTTCGGTCTGTTCGGATGTAAATAGTCAAATTGCCACGAGATAAGTCAGATAACGTCGGGGAGTTGACGAAAAAACCCACCCACCCACTGATAACGTCGATTCGACGTTATGCGTGGCAACATGAATATGGACGTGGCCCCTAATAATGCCGTATCTTCGGCGTAGACTTTACACGGAATGCTACATATTAAAACAGGAGTACAATTTAGGTACAAATTTAGTAAATGACTGCTCAGGTTTATGGCTATGTTGCCTATACATACAATCTCAAATGTTGTCCTTGCATCTGTTACGCACGACGGAAATATTTCCCGCGCAAATCTTATTTTACAATCTGAAGGAATGAGTGGCACACTGGCACATTCACTGATTCACACACTTACTGGCTTGTTTTCCTGTCGTTTCCAAGAATAAATTGAAGAGCGAGACGCCATCTACCATGATGTAAATATTCTAGGAAACCATATTAAAAAACAAATAGACAAAATCAATGCAGAATTGCAACACTAGCAACAAATAAATAAGGATTTGTATAAAAACATTCAACAATTTCAGCCGCCATGTTGAATAATGCAGCGCAGGGCCCTGGGTCGAAAACAACTAAACTGGGTAATTTTTAGGACAAAACAAGAAATTGTTCCACTAATAGACAACTTGCATGTTAGTTACTAATTTTTGATTTAGGCAAAAAAAGTAAATTCCCGTAAAGAACTTATCAAAATCAGTAAAATTGCAAAATTTGGTTACGAAATGTAATTCTTTATTTGGGCCCCCCTTTATCTGGGGCCCCAGGGCAAATTGTCCCCTCCACCCCTCTGGACGGCCTTGACAACAACTGCAGTTACACGACTATCTATGACAGCATAGTTTCATATTCACATGCTTGCAGGAAAGAAATATTTTCGTCCTGGCAAATGAAATGCGGCTTACCTTAGGCGTGACAGACCTCTAGAGGAGTTCCAGGGCCATGCACCCACAGAAAATTGTATAATATAGGCTTTCTAAAAGGACATTTCCTGCAATGTGCGGGGACATTCTATATAATTCTGAATTATACACTAATTACAAAAACTTAAGTATCATTCACTCCATCTTCCAAGGTCATATATAAAGAGATCTTTCAATATTCAATTGGTAGGAGACTTTGTTCATCTAATATTAATGGTAATATTAGTGCGGACGTTCAAATTATTCTCATTCAAAATGTTTTGATTAATACCCTGATTAAGTGTGAAGACGAATTTTTAATTCAGTTTTTCTGCTCATTTTCTTGTTAGAATTAACAACTTATCACAGCAAATTTTATCACTGCACATTATTTACTTTTATCACTGCACAAATTGGTTATTACTGCACAAATTGGTTATTAAGATTAGGGACCGGTCATTATTTATGGAAGGGGGGAGGGGAATTTTTTCTTTCTTAAATTTTTGAAATTGAAAGCCCCCCTCTTAAAAGAGCAGAAATTTAATGATGACCCCCCCTGCTATATTAGAATATTTTTCTTCTTCTATTTTCATTTTTTCTCGTCAAATGGGGATACCCAGGCGTTATAGTGTTAATTATTAAATAAGAATATGGAACTGACAAGATATTAACATCGACCAAAAATATATATTAGCAGAAAATTATAATTGAAAGAGGGGTATTTTCATATGGAACTCTAAAATCAGGTTTCCATTTGGTCTGGGCGATTGTAACCATGTTTAACGGCAGAGAATTAATATTAGTGTTTGGAGGCAGGTGCCGTTTGTGGTCCAAGGCTGTAACTAGATTTGATGGCACAAAGTATTGCCATAGCAGCTGCATAGCAATGAGAGTAACAATCAGTAATATTAGCAGCAAAAGGAGATAGCCATGACAATTCTGGACATTCTGCCAAGGCATACCTCCGGCACCAGTCACACTGACAAGTCAGTGGAAACGAAATACAATGTATAGTGGTCTATATACATCCTATTTTATGTGAGATTAAAAATTATATAAAATAAAATGACATGCTACCAGATAAAATCCTCTAGAAAAAACATGGGTGGGTGGGTAGGAAAAAAGTATCTAAGCGCTAAACTTGCTACAGCTAGGCAAAGCATACAATGGCAGAAGGAATACTCAGACCGAAGCACTGATCACAAGGCGCGAAACAACCCCCTTTGATCGATATGACGTCACAGACTCCCCTCAGCAGATGTGGCCTGCATAATACATTCGCCGTTAACCTTGCTTAAATGTATTTAACCACATCAAGATCAGGCTGATGTAATAATACATTGTCAATTTAACTCTGCAATCAGTAAAGACTGATTTGCATACAGCACACAGAAGACAAGATAAATCCAGACTATTTCACATCAGTGACCGTGACCATGATTTAGTCGCAATTACAACCAAATGGATACCATGCTTATTAAGCAAATTCCTTCAAATTTAATTGCACCCCCCCCTCATTTTCGTTAAAAAATTTAATAGCCCCCCCCTTCTGGTCATTTATTTATACATATGCCCCCCCCCCTTTATTTTTTCCCTCCCCCCCTTCCATAAATAATGACCGGTCCCTTAGGTATGTAACAGTAAATGTACATACTATAATAAATTGATTAACGACATAACGACATTAACTATTGTTAGGTTTTTTACGGGATATTGCCAGAACAAATGAACATTAATACATTTGGATGTTGAATTCCTTCCTCCAAGCAGTGCAAGACAAGGTTTCGTGAAGATTAACGCAATCCTCACAAGATGTTTTTGCCTTATATAGCTTCGTATCTTCAGCATACAGTCATGTTGATGTCAAAAACATGGGACCTAAGATGCTTCCCTGTGACTCTACAATCGGATACGCTGAGTATGGCCAGGTAGGTAGTCACGCTGACACCAGTTTAAGTGTTATCTGATATGCAGTAAGTTTTACATTTGGCTGACAACCTGGCACGGTCCTCAGTGCGACCATGGAGAAATCCGTGTTGTGCTTTATTGATCCGAACATGATCATAAAATTGATTGCAAAGAGTCATCTCTCCAAGATTTTCCTACTGATAATGAATAGCTGTGATTAATGGTTGGTATTTGATAGGATGTTTATCATGTTCTTTCTCATCTTTCTCATGGCATGACATCGGTGGATTTACATTCAGGAGGTACGATTCCAGAATGAAGAAAACGATTGAAAAATCGGTGCAAAGGCTTGGAGTGATGACGGGCTGCAGCCTCCCCCCCGACCATTCTTGGCCGGTTTGGGCAGATTATCAAAAATTGGTCAATTCTACTTAAAAACCGCGCAGGTTCAACGGAACTGGGCAGATTCTACTTAAAAATCGGGCAAATGCTGAAAGGGCAGCACGAACGTATTAAAGTAGTCGAACGCATTCAAAATAATATCAGTTATACGCATGCTTAAATGACCAGAATAAATACAGAATCATACATTCTAATTCACGAGATTATAAGCACCATTTGATTTGGTAATTGATGTAATGTTAATAACATAAAAGTCGTAAGTTAAATTTTCTCTTGTGGGCATGCAGCGGCACCTGCTGAACTGCATCCCAGTTTAAAATCCGACCTGAAATAACATCTGCAGGACCAGTGCAAATCTTGTGTTACTAGGAATTGTGAGTCTGAGTGTAGATCAGAAGCTTAGAAGTTTTTCTCATAAATAACTACGTTTCGGTGTACGTATAATCTTGTATTTGGAGTATCATAAATATCCATATTCAGTATTCGCTTCCACCCCCGAAAATACTTGATCTTTACGTACCTTCCTGAGTAATGACTAATGTTAATGTTGTACGAGCTGTCTGGGACAGCTGTGTTGCTTAGTCATGATGTATTAAAATCAATATGATATAAAATATGCATTAATAAACACTTTATTATTTTTATTACAGGACTATCAAAACAAATATTCAAGACAAATTACTAATAGCCAAACATATTTTATATGTAATATACCTTTCAGGCTAACCAACATTTAGAATATCGGTGACATTAGCAACGTTCTACAACATCAGATACCAATCTATAGTCTTCATTTATGAAGTGACCATTGAATGTTTATTAAAACGGTTATTTCTAAAAACACGTTCATTCTTAAAACACCATCTTTTATATTTCTCTGTATAATGGTAAGTTTTGGTTTAGTAAATCTTTATAAAGCAAAACCGGTACCGAGAAAAGAACAGCGACTGAATTATAAAAGACACGTTTCCTTGGTTTCTTTTCAGTTTCTCCGATAAAAATGTTCGGGTTTTCTTTCGATTCCTGCAATATATTATCTTCCAAAACCTCTTCCATTGATTTACAGGCTTGATCGAAATTTTGCAATTCGATTTCTTCAAGAATTTCTAAAATACGATGACGATAAATTAAAGCGTTTTCCAATCACTGGATCGTGACTGCATGTTATTCCCATTGGTGGCATGAAACAATCCAAACCTGGAATCAGGAACTTTGAAATAATAGTTATCTTCTACAAATTGGTTGAATTTGGTTTAGGAGAGTGCCTTCTTTTCATTCAAAGAATTTTCATATTTTCCTTCTACCAGGCAAAATGTGTCCGTCAAGGTTTGTGCGAGACATTTAAATATTAACTATAACTTTAACTATGACCTGAGCATGAATCTCCGAACTATGCGTAATTATTACTATCTATTTAAAAGATTCATGGTTTCTGATTGGCTAACTCAACTAACTGTGAAATCGTCATATCAACTCAACGACCTATGGAGTTATGAATATTCAACGGAATGACGTCATGACATCGATTATGAAAAAATCATATCCAATGTTATGACGTCATGCGGTGGGAAAACGAATACGAAATGTAGAAACACGACCAAAACAATATGGCGCCGCCTTCGGCCGTTTCTGCGAAAAGGAAACAGCTTTAAAATATACTCAAGGGGTATGAAAAAACCCCAGCCACGAGAGGTTTTGAAACAGCTTAAGATACTTATAAAAGAATAAAGAAAAGATTTGGGAAAAAGAACAGGTCATTATTTCGACGATTTGAACCCACTGATGCGGATGACTTTTTCATCTTTTAAAAATAACTAATAAAACATTTATTGAATTCGGTTTTCGCCAGATATGAAGAATTATCAAGCTCTCAGTTTGTGTTATTAACATCAATCTTCGGCTTCGGTTGATAACACAAACGTCTGGCTTGATAATTCTTCATACCATGCTTAACCTCATTCTGTAGTTGTTAATAGACACATTTGGCAAACGTTTGTTTACACCCAATTCACAACTTGAGGTCACCCACATGCCTAGTTACTATTGTTCTAGTAATCAAAAGCATAGAATAGAACAAAGGTAACTAACAGGGGCGGCGCTAAAGGGGGTGTAGGGGTGTTCCACCCCCCGCAGTCATCGAGTAGTCGGCAAAATATTAAATCCCAGTCGGCAAAACATGGTTTTGGCTAGGAAAAAATTATTTCAGTGACACGGATTTAAATTTAAGAATAATGGCAATAATAGCTAAAATGGGGAGAAATTTCCGAAAACATTAGGGAATGGAACGAACAACGGTGGTTAAACACAAAATAAGATGACAAATATGTTGTCCAGAAACTTAATGTTTGTAGTTGAACATTTTTAATGGAACTGAGTCAACTGACGGGACTAATCATGCAGTTTTATAACATGCTCGTACGATTACAAATTTACAATGCATTCTAAACTCGCAGAGGTAATGAAGTTTGGGTGTTTACAACAAAAGGGCGGTAGCGGTGGCTCCACATCCAACAACAGAGCAAGCAGTTTTTACTGTTTTACACGCTGCGGTAAATTAATCAGCACATAATCATGTATTCACATGTTGAACGATACCAAAAAATTTTAAATAAAAGTCAATTCAATTGTGTTTACGCACCCATGGGTTCAGTATAGAACTCAAGCGTTCAAATTATAATAACAAGGTGAATTTCTAAAGGTCACTTTTTTTGAGACACTCTGTACATAACATAGTAGTTACTTTGTTCTATAGAGCGTTTGCACATGACGTCACAGCCGCCATGTTGGTGTTCCAATTCAAAAGAATTTTAATTGGACTGTTTTGTCTGGAACAGCAACATGGCCGCCATGGCATTTGATGAGTTGGTCCCTGGGGAATGAGTGCAAACGCTCTATTCTATGCTTCGGCTGTAAACTAGAACAATAGTAACAAAGCATGTGAGTTATCTAAACTTGTGAAATGAGTAGAAACAATTTGTAAATAACGTTAAAATACTCATTAATAATTCATAAACCTTGTGGCAAATCATGTCGGCCATAATATGTCACGTGGAGTGACTTTATATCTGATAAAGCATGAGGCATTGTATAATTGTTCATCTTGACAACCTGTCTCGTATTACATTTCGAATTCAATTTTTCTAATATAAATATCTCGGCGAGTATTTACCCCCCTTTTAAATAAATGCCACCATTGAAATCCTCACAATATAACCTTTCGAACGGGGGGTCAAGTGCCGTCAAAACATTACACAAACCGAAACAATCATATATTTTATACTCACTGCTTCGCCAAACATTCAAAGGAGAAAATGAGAAAAAGTTGAATATTTTCTAAACTTTGGTGTCATTTCCTGAAAGGATATGTGTAAAATACTCTTTGTATTCAAGCGCTTTCGTGTAGAAAGTTTCGTATGTATACGCCGAATAGAAATATTTATTTTGAATTTTTAAAGTATCGGGTTTTACTAGCACGCGCTTGTATTACGTAATACTTGGCCAATAAGGAGCTCCCTTTAGCCGGGATGACGTAAAACTCACGCGTATGGGTGCACTTTGACCTGTAGAATCCATTTCTGGCATTTCCAGAGTCACGCGATACAAGCGTAGCATTGTTTTGACGGGTTTTCGTCGTATTTCCGGTTGGGATTAACGCATATTCGGAGCAGAAATACAAAATTCGGCACTAAATGTCGAATTTTAAAGATAGAAGCTTGAAAATAACACTATACGTGTTATTTTTAACTGCTTCATACAGCAAGATTATCAGAATGAGCGTACGTCTCAATGGGACGAAGTTATATTCGGCGAAAGGTATGTTTATATTTATAATTTGTCAGTAATATTGCGTAATTTGATCATATTTATTCATATACGAGCTCGTTTGACTTTCAAAGCTCATAAATCGCTATAATGTTGCCATTCACTAAATCTATCGATAGGAATGAGTATCTATCGTTACACTGAATCGAATGGTGGTATTTTGGTCCACGTAGCATTTACCGAACTGAAGATATGAACCGCAAAAATGATAAATCATGAGTGATTTGTTCAATTGGGACCTGTCGAGAAAGAGTTAATTAACTAGTATTGTTCGATGCTGAATTAATATAAACGAGTATGTTTATGACATTCAGTATATATTTCATAATTTCCAGTCTTAAATCCGTCTCACCGTGTAGCTCAGTAGGTAGAGCGTCGATCTAGAAATTCGAAGGTCGCGGGTTCGAGATCCAGCCCGGCAGACATCTTTCTGCTTGCGCTGGGTATGGAAATTATATAATACACACTCTAGAACATTTTCATCTTAACATATCACAGAGTGTACAATTACACAACTAACACACACACACACACACGCAAAGAGTGCTCAATATCATAAAGATAGAGCAAATGTAGAATTTCGCTTACCTCAAAATTCCGCAACAGTCTGTTTCATCAGTAAAGAATCATCAGGCGGTATGACAAGTTTCGAAAATAGGGCTGCTTATATGTGTTTTGGCCGGAACGTGGGTGTGTGTGTGTGAAACAAAGCATGCATTCATCTGTTGTTTGCGTTGTTTACGCGGAAATGCCTAATTGGATTGTGGGAGTGTATTGTTTGCGTTGTTTACGCGAAATTTCTTCCTATGTCTGCACGTAGATATAATTTCCATTCTTTTATTGAGTAAACAGTTTTGATTTTCTTTCAAAATACAAAAATTTCAAAAATTTTCAAAAATTTTTAAAGAGCGTTTGACTAACCATAACTATACTTTCGAGCATAAAGAGCACTCAAACAAAACTGAAATTTCGAAATATATTTGGACATTGAAAGATAGCAATAAAGATTTTAATATCAATTGGCAAATTTTGAAACGCGCTATTTCGTATACGGGAGGATCAAAACGATGTAATTTATGTTTAGAGGAAAAATTTTGTATTTTGAAAGAAAACCAAAACTATTTACTCAATAAAAGAATGGAAATTATATCTACGTGCAGACATAGGAAGAAATTTCGCGTAAACAACGCAAACAATACACTCCCACAATCCAATTAGGCATTTCCGCGTAAACAACGCAAACAATAGATGAATGCATGCTTTGTTTCACCCACACACCCCCACGTTCCGGCCAAAACACATATAAGCAGCCCTATTTTCGAAACTTGTCATACCGCCTGATGATTCTTTACTGATGAAACAGACTGTTGCGGAATTTTGAGGTAAGCGATATTATATATATATATATATATATATATATATATATATATATATATATATATATATATATATATATATATATATATATATATATATATATATATAATGCAATATTGACCGAGAGAGCTGCGTTTAAACTTGAGTAAAATGTCGAGAGTTAGCTTAAAGTGTCGAGAATTAGCAAAAAACGACCTATATGAAATATTAATACAGCAACAACCAATGTTTAGACACTCTATAGGCAGAAGATACAGGTTCCTTTTCAGAGACCTGCCCAACGCCTCGGTGTAACCTCACGAGCATTATTTACCCTTACATATTCTAAACATTTCTGAACTCTTTGATCCTTCGTTATATATATATAAATTTCACCAACACTGTAACAACGTTTCCAAGAGAGGGAAGTTGCCAATTTCGGCTTAGGATTGTTGGTATAGTTCGTCAGTGTGGATGTATATAACAAGGGCGAATAATGTCCGCGACCAATCAGAGTATTTGTTTACCTTTTGGCACTAAGCCAATCAGAACGCGTACATTTTTACTACTTCCGGTTTAGACGCGTATTTCAACACGAAAATTAGGGTCATAAATAAAGCCCTGGAGGCACCTGGTTTTTATTTTTTTGGGCTTATTTCAATGAAATCCTATAAAATGTAAAATTTTCGAAAAACTTGCCCCTGGGATTTGCGTTTCATCGCTTAGTTTTGAAATTATCTGCATTGAAAAAACGGCGTATGCAAGGTCACTCTCGAATAGGTCAAAAACTTGTTATGATTCTAAAGGAAGTGAAGCGAATGCGCATATCCTGATGTCTTGTAGGTTACACTCGAGGTGGAAGGAGTGTCCACAGCCTCGAAAAATGCGACACAAAGGACTATCACGATTGCGTTCGATCACTGATTTTTA